TGCGCTTGCCAGGCAGGCGCTTTTGCCGCTGAGCTAAATCCCCAGCCCCTTGAGCCTATGCTTAACATAACTTCAAGATGAGGATTTGTGTTCTTCATCTCCAGGAGAAAACTTCCTTACTTTTAGCCTAGAAGTTTAAAAATACACTGTATAATTTTCCACCTCATATTTTGGCAGTGCTTCTAAAGAACATCAGAATTAGTTGACAAATATTGTGAATATCAGACTTAATATTGTAAGAGAATGGAAACAAGTACATGTGTCTTTGAAAGGGCTTTATATGTTTAATGAGAAAAGCCAAGTCCGAAAGTCAAGGCTAATGGAAAAGCTGAATCACTACGAGGAATTTGACTTCTGTTGAATAGGAGGTTTGGTTATTTGAAGGGTCAATGATTGGAAAACTTCACATCATGAATAAAAGTTTAGATAAAATAAAGATACGTAAATACAGATACAGTGATAGGTGAAGCCTCCTTAATGATTGGTACATACTTCTTTCTACCCTGGAAGATGGGCAAAATTTTCATATCCAAGAGGGTGTCTGAGTTTCAGGTAGTCTTCTTACAGGCGGTTTTATGTGGAGGTGTATCGTTTCTTTCCCCAGAACTAGTCATATTCAAAATGGGTAAGGGAAAGATACCGGAAAACATTAAAGTGAGTATCATGGTTTGGGTCTTACCTATCTTTTCATTTTGCTGCTCTTTGCCTGTGTCTGTTTATGAATTCAACACTGGAGTCCATTACCTACTATCATTATTTTTGGAATTTTACATCTGTAATCGTAAGGAGGTTGGTTTAGTTCTCTCTCTTCTTCTCTTGCCTCTGTCTGCTTTGACGTGGTAGTCTTAATGATGGAATGAGAAGCATCTCACGTTTTGTTGCTTTCTGGAGTAATTTGTATAATTTATTTGAAGGTTTGGAGAATTTCCCATTAAAATCATTTGCATTTAGTTCCATTTTAGGTGTAGCTCCTCAATTCCTATTTCACATGGCATCAAATTTAGTAATTTAATTTTTTTGAAGGTCACATTTTATCTGGTCTAAAGATGTGTCTAGTTTAATGTCCTACATTTGTAATGTATATTTTTAAATCTCAACATTCTTAGTTGTTTTTCTCATTGTGAGTGTTGATTGTGTATTGACCAAACCTCCCACTCTAAAAAAATAATAATAACATTTCCCAAAGATTGGTTGTTTCATTAACTTTTTCAAAGAAGTAGGTTTTTGTTTAAATTCTGCTAATTTCTTCTTTTTGTATTTGATTAATTTCTGCCATCCCCCACCCCCCAGTACCGGGAATTGAACTCACAATCTTGCGCTTGCCAAGCAGGTGCTGTGCCGCTGAGCTAAATCCCCAGCTCCTAATTTCTGCCATTAATCATACAAATTGCTTGCATTTTCTTTGGCAGGACTTGTCATTAGGTATTGTCTAGCTTCACTGTGTTTCTAGTTTGTTTCTTTATAATCATTCCTGTCTGAAAATAGATACATGTAGATGTCCAGGTTTCTGGTCGCTAGTGTTCTCAGTACTTCCCACCATTTTGAAATGTGTTGTTATGAATCACTTACAAATACTGTCATTTTCAAGTTTTTTAATTTCTAAGAGAAGGCTCCTATCTTCACTCTCCCTTTCTCATTTCATCCCTTCAACTTCTTTTCTTCCTTCCCTATTTTCTTACTGCTGCCATTGAAGTTAAAACATCATTGCTTGGAAGAAACATTATCTTATGTACCACAATGCTAAGAAAAATAGACCCAATTAAGCAATGATTAAGTGCTTACTTGTTGCTCAGAATTTTTATTTTATGCGTATTGGGAAGAAGCCTATAATTTTAAGCCTAGTATTAAAAAAATTACCTCATAGTTCAATACATGGTTTCCAGATAGCAATTAGGACTCATCTTTCCCTGTTTCTCGCTTGCACGACATGGCTGTTCGTTGCTGAGTTATGCCACTGAGTAAACTGACAACAGAGTAACCTAAATAGATTCTTCAAACACAGATACTAGTAGGTGTATTCCAACTGCCTCCCACTAGCAAATGAATGTTATTATTCCTTCGTTAACGTTGAAAATTACAGAACATGTAATACTGTGACATTCATTTTATTCACATGTGTGCAAAGAATGCAATATGATTTCTGCTTTCTGGAATTTTTGGGTTTTTTTTCTCTTTGCCTTTGTCTATTTTTATGTGTGGCATGAATTTCTTGGGTAAAAATAAAAATGCTATTTAGTTGTATCACTTATAGTTTTTATAGTGTTATTTTTTGTCAGTTCCATTAGTTAATTTTTGAAAGGTGCCATAAACTCTTGAAGATTTTGTAAGTTTTTCTTTTCGTTCTTTGCATTTATCAATTTTTGCTTTATAATTTTTAATATGTGCTGTATTATTAGGTGCATATATGTTGAATATATGTTTTTTGAACTTGATTATTCCTTATTTTACATTGATACATCCAATTCCTTTTTGCTGATATGTATGGATGTGCATAACAAAATATAAAGTAAATATGTAATACAAAATAAATATATAATATAAAATACATAAAATGTTTATTGTCAGCCCTTTTGGGTTTTGGGTATTGCTTTTAGTTCATATTTGGGAGATATTCAATTTTCTTTTGTAAGTTGAGATTGTATGTTCTTTAATAAGAACTTTAATATATCATATGTATATTACTATGTTGCTTTTCTGTTGCTATAGTGAAATATGTAGGCAGAGAACTCAGATAAGAGGTTTTTAAGCTGATAGAGTTGGAGGCTGAAAGTGCAAAGAGCTTAGTGCTGAATGTGGTGAACATCTACCAGAGTGTCATAGTGGTCGTGTGTGTGTGAGAGAGAGAGATCGAGTGGTGAGACAGGAGGAAGCCAGAGAATGATCCAGGGGCCAGGCACACTCTTCTATAGCAACCTCCTCTCTTGACAATGAAGTGTGGTACTCAGGGTCACACAATAGCTTTCTAGTCCCTTCCAATGGCCCCACTTCTTAATCTTTCTACCAGTTGAGCAGTATACACTGGGAACCAACCAGCCTTTCAGCATGTGAAATTTGGGGACAGACTTAAACCATATCCGAATGATAACCAGCGGCAAATGGTAGGATTGGATGTGCTTTCAGTGTGCTATTTGATTTGCTGTATATGAAGCGCTGAGCAAATTAGATACCATTCTTTTCCTCATGGGTCTCATTAGATGATGGCAGTATTTTAAGGGTACTTTCTATATTTTGTTATAGGTAAAAGTCTCATCTCATGTGCTATTTTTTTTGTTTATAAAAAAGTTCTTCTCTGACCTTCGCATTATCTTATTTGAAAGGATGGGGAAGGAAGTAACACAAAGTTATAAAATGAAAGTTCGGGACCCAAAATTCACTCTTTGATTTGTTAAACATATGAAAGAAAAATTTTAGTTATGAAAACTCGATGGAATCCTCAGTAATAATGTTTTAGAGTTTTTTTTTTTTTTAATGAGCTGCCCTATATGTAAAACTTTCTCTGTTTCCTTCTTCTCTGTCTGTAACACATTGCCTGGACCACAAAGTCAGTAATTTCCAAATCAAACAGGATGTCCATGCTCGTGGAGTTTGCCTTTCATGTAGAAGTTAAACACCTGAGTGTGGTCCTAGACAGTGCCAGTTTTACCTGAGAAAGTATGTACTACCACATCCTCTGTTTTGTTTGGCTTTGTCCAAAAAACAGCAGAGGAAACCTAATGTGGAAATCGAAAGCAGAGGAAACCGAAAGATTGCAGAGGACTTCCGGTTGAAGTTATTTCTAAGAAAGACATGATAGAAGATGAGAAAAGTTAGCCAATTGGAGCACAAAACTAAAAGAAGCCATACACAGTTCTCTTCTTAAAATAATACACATGTACTGTACTTTACTCTCCAGCCCATCTACACTATGTGCTGTATCCTTAGTGACTAGTCAGGTGCCCTGTTTTCAGAAGATGCCGGGTGAATGAGTGAAGGCTGAATTGTGCCTATATCCTCAGCAGTTACCATCTCTCATGCAATAAAAACTCAAGTCACAATTTCATTGTCATATTGGCTACCGTAAGATTCTTGAATTTCTTGTCATATTGGCTACCGTAAGAGTTTTGTACTGCCTAATAATCTAAACAGAATGATGGGGCACAAATACTCATGCTCCTTGCCTTTACAGAATGAGTCGAAAGTTGCAGTCTGAAAAGCCTATAGTAACTTCCTGTAAGCACGGAAAAATTTGAATATCAACACTACACGCTTTTGTCAAGATTCTGTGTAGTTTCCAATATGAACAGAAAGAAAATTAAGAAAAAAAAATACACTCACTGGCTGGGTACAATGGCGCATACATAGCATCTCAGCCACTTAGAAGGTTAATGCAGGACGATCTCGAATATAAGACCAGCCTGGGCAACTTTGTGAGACTGTGTCTCAAAATAATGTAAGAAGCTGAAGTTATTACATGGGCTGTTCTTTTTGACGTGTATCTGGATGCCTTTTCTTTTATAATTTTGAAAATACTTCTGTTTATTTATTTACTCATATAGGGCATTCTGGAAACCTAAAAATTATGTTTGTGAATATAGATGTAAATATTTAAATAAATTATGTAGCTATCATAAAAATGTTGAGTATTTTATCATAAAATATGTAATAACTTGCATTTATACTTGCAAAATATGTGATAATTAAAGTTGTCATCGGATTGGATGGATTTTGTGTGTTAAACTTACAGGGACCTATATTCACCATGAAAGAAGTCAGTTTACAAATTATGGACATACATTCCTTTTAGTACACAGACATGTGTAACATAAAACCGAGAGGTAAAGATTCAGCTGTAGTAAAACATGGGAAGGTGGGAGCTACAACCGCATACACTAAAAAAAGTCTATCCACTTGTCTTGGATTTGCTTTGTTCAGAAGGTAATGGTGACTTTGAAGTAGGAAATATTGATTCATCATGTTGTAGCCTGAGGGATATTAATACATTCTCCTTTTTTTTCTTCTAGCACACTGATTTATGCCAGTACATGGACAAGCACCCCGGGGGGCTCCATCCAGATAATGTGAAGGTAGGAAAAGCGATTTCAAAGCCCAGATTTAGCACTCTTCATGTACAGTTTTTGAACCTAATATCTCCACTGTATCTTAAATTTTTAAAATATTTCTTATAAAGAGAAGCAGTATCAGAGTGAACCATAGTATGTACCTCAGTTTAGTTGGTGGAAATTGTGTTTCCATATTAAATATGTTTACTGGAAGATTTTTGTTTAGATCTTATCCTATTTTTAGTTCATGGAGAAACATTTGCCAACAATGAGTGGGTTACAGTGAACCCTATTTTAATTCTCTGCTCAGGAGGGACGCGTAGTGGTAGCTCTAGCTTAGACCCTCATAGTGTAGTACCAGTTGATTTCAATGGGAAGTGTTGATGCAATCCAAAACAGCATTCCTGTGGCTTCACTAGGCATGTTTTTTTTTTTTTTTTTTCCTTTTTGTTTTTTTCTATTGTGTTTTCCTGGTACTGGGGCTAGGCAAGTGCTTTCCACTGATCTCAATCTCCAGCTCTTTAATTTTTCATTTGTATGTATATGCAAGAAGTAGTTCCCCTTTATACTGCTCATTTTCATTTTTTTTTTTTTTTTACTAGAAACTTAATGAGTATGTGTCAAAAGAACTACATTTTTGTGATGTTTAACCTAGTGACCATTTGGGGAAATTTTTCCAGAAAGTCAAGCTTAAAAGAAGAGATTTCTTAGCATGTGTTAAGGAACTTAAAGATAACCAAAAGTATATCCGAAGACATACTGATGTCCTTGCATTTTGTAATTCAGATGCTTACATTTCATGATCCCGAGAAGCAGTTGAGTATCATGGATGCATTTGAAGTAAAATTATTTGTTTACATTTTGTGTACTATCTATATATACCACTCTTTGAAACATGATGTATTTTTTGTTTTGTATTTTCCTTTGCTTGTATAGATTTGTTCACACGTGTGTAATTTTCCTTTACAAAAATATATTCTGTAAGTTCCTTTCTTCACTTAAAATGTATCATGGATATCCTTTAACACCAATACTGTACATAGATATGTAGCAGATTCTTTCTGATAAATGTGTTATTTCTAATATGAATAAACCAGAAGGTTTGATTGTTTCTTGTTAAAACATTTTGGTGTTCTTTCCAGAATGTTGCTATTATAAGTGAATATAGAGTCAATATTAGTATAGAAGCGCTATACGCATTTCTCTTGGATATCTAGTTAATAGATCAAGACAGAGGTATAGTATCTATGTTAGACAGTTTTCTTCTACTCTTGCTAACGTTGACTGGAATCAGTCATTTTAATTTTTGTGATTCTGATAAGAATAGGATGTCTTTTTGGTCGTCATCTAATGAGGACATTAAGCACTTTTTTGTGTTTTCTCAAAATTCTGCTTTCTTAATTGCCTGTTCTTACATATTATCTATTTTCTTGTACATTGTCCAATGTCCCCTTGTGTTTTATTTTTTGTAATAGATTGTAGGTGCTTTTTAATATTTGTGACATTACCAGTGAAGGTTTTTCAAAATGGGCAGTTTATGTTGCACAATTTAAAAATACAGAAATCAGTATGACACCTCTGTTGATTTTTTTTTTATGTTATCTCCTCTTTGTTGCTTTCAATAATAGATTTTCTTTGTTCAGTTTAAGAATTTATAATGTATTTATTTTTCATAAAAATACATTTTCTGTTAACAGATAAAAAATATGGATTTATTAATTTGGTCCATGTTGAGCGGACTTGCTCTGTTGTTTTGGGGATGTGGGCATTCACGTCTGTGAACCGCCCTCTCAGGACTGTTTTCATTGTGTCCCTCAAGTTCCGCTACATGGCATCGGCACTGTCCTTTAATTTTAAGAACTGCTTTCTGTTTTCCTTGTTCAAGGGGTACTGTTTAATGTCCGTGTATTTGCATAATTTCCATGGTTTCTTTGCCATTGATTTCAAGTTTCATTGCACTGTGATCTAATAATATCACTGTACAATTTTGATTCTTTTCATTTACTTTAGAATGCTTTATGGGCTACTGAGTGGTCCCTTTTGGAAAAACTTCCATATCCTGCTAAGAAGACTATGTATTTCATGCTTGTTTCATTGAACATTCTATCAGTATCTGTTACAGGAAGTGTATTTGTTTGAAGGTTTTGTTCAACTCTGATACTTTTTTGTTGATTTTTTTTTTTCAGCAGATCTGGTTGATCTGTTTGTGACAGTGAGATAGTGAGGTTCCCTACTATAATTGTGTTTATGTTTACCTGATCTTTTATTTCTAGGAGTACTTATTTTATCAAGTTAACAGTACCATTGTTGGCGCATATGCATTAATAATTGTTTTCTCTTATGGTTGTATTGTTCCCTTAATGAGTATGTAGTGACTTTTACCTCTTCTAATTGGTTTTGGCTTAAAATCCTCTTTGTTTCATAATAGGATAGCTACTCCTGTGTATTTTCACATTCCCATTCATGAAATATTGTTTTCCATCCTTATACTAAACTAAAATAAAAATGAATCAGTGACCTAAATGTGCAAACAGAAAACCTAATCTGGAAGATAAAATAGGTAAAACTGTTGAACTCATAGACCTAGGCAAGGACTTTCTGAACAAAACCTCAATGGCTTAAGAAATAGATCAGGAATTCTTCTAATCTTGGTTTCTTGATTGAGAAATTGATACCATTCACATTGTGAGTTATTACTGAAAGATATTAACTTATTCTTGTCCTTTCATTATTTCTCTGTTGCTGACTCCATTTCCTTCTTTTTAATTGCTCAGTTTACCTTGTGTGTTCATTCTCTTAGCCCTTTTGTCATTGTTAAGTTTCCTTGCGTCTTTCTAGGATATCTTTGAGGAATTTTTGAAGTGCAGATTTGGTGATCATGGATTGTTTTTAGGTACTCTTTATTATGAACATAACTTATTTTCCCATCAATTCTGAAAGCTGGTTTAGCAGAATAAATCAGTCTAGCTTAGAAGGTTGTATTGTGTTTTGTTTTGTTTTTTTCCAGGACCAAAACATTTCACTCCCTGTTCTCCTGGCAGTTAAAGAAGTCTGTGATTTAATGAGTGTACCTTTTTAAGTGATTCCTTGCTTTTCTCTAACAGCTTTTTAGATCATAGTCTTGGCCAGGGATCATAGTCTTAGCTCAGCAGCACAATGCCTGCCTGGCAAGCACGAGGCCCTGAGATCGATTCCTGGTACCAAAAACAAAAATAGAAAAAATTTTTTAAAAAAGATCATAATCTTGAGTTCAACTACTGGATTTTGACTATCATGTGCTGTGGAGAGCTTGTTTTCTGACCATGGTTACGTGGGGTTCTATATCTACTGCTTACTTTTGTGTTAAAATCTTTTATATTTGGAAATTTTGCGCTACTATTTCAGTAAACAGGCTTTTTATGCTAATTGTGTGCTCTTCTGATTTTTCACTAATTCCAATTTAGTTACAGTCTTCTTTGCATCATCTAACAGCTTTTGGATCCAGTTTTCATGTTCTGTTGTTCTTTTCAGGTAGCTCTCGTTAATTAGTCTCCACCGGCAGACCTGTCTTCTAGTGATGACACTATGTCCTCACATTGGTCACATGTGCTGCACATACTTTTGATAGAATTTTTAATCTCCTGAGTTTCTGTTTGGTGCCTTTTAATGAACTCTAATTTTTTTCTGTGCTGGTCATTCATGTTTTATGTTGTTTTGTTTCTCTCAGTTAGGTGTTTATTAGTGTCTTTTGTACACTTACTGATGGTTTTGTTTATTAGGACCATTATCTTTCTAGACATAACTTCTTTGAGCTGGACGTTCACTTACTGATCTGTTTTGTTATCACGTCACCATTCAAGTAATCTTGTTCTGCTTTTGTTTCCTCTTCTCTGCTTAGCTTTGGGGAGTTGAAGGACTTGGCAGCACTTCGTTGGCTTGTGTTCTGCTGTTTCTATTTATCTTCTGTTGTTTGTTTGTTTGTTTGAGCTGAGGCTTGCGAGTTGATTAAAATGAAACGCTTTATTGCTAGTATAGAGACCTGTGTAGTTAATGCCTGGGTTTCAGTCGTGCTTTGTGGGCATGCTAACTGTTGGTCTTTGCTTCTGGCCCAGGGTCCACACCTCTGTTTATTTAGGAAGGGAGGTTGCAGTGTATTTGGTTCATTATCTAGTTCTCTGAGATGGGACACAGTACTGTTAATGACACAAAGCTCTCCAGGTTTTGGCATCCAGGGAGAACCAATTTTTGTATATATAAAAATATATATATTTATATATAAAAATTTATAGTATACAAATATGTATTTTGTATTGTTATATGTAATATAATGTATAATATATTTATAGATAATATATAAAATATAATATATCACATTAAATATATTATACAATATATTACATATGTATATGTAAATATACAATATATTTATATGTATAAATTTATTATGTATATATATGTATAAAATATTATCAGTAACAAAATAACATCAAAGCCCAACTGAATATTGACATACCCCAAGGACAAATAATGTACCACACTTAACCATAGAAAAGCAATCTATAATTATAGTTTAAATACTAAGGCAAGCCAGATATTAACCAATAGTAGACATGTACTAAATGAAACTATGTCGTGTCTACTGATAGAATAATATTGAGCTGTTAGAGCACAGAGTTAACTACTATCTAAAGATTCATAAAGCTTTACAGTTACACTAGCAAAGATGGAGAGGGTAGGGAACCAGGGAATGAAAAAAGTAAAATTTGAAAAATGTATGAAGGGAAGATGAGGAAGAGAGAAAAACGAGATAGGAAATCTGAGTGAAAGGAAAGAGTGAAAGGAAATTAATAGTATTGTAAAACAATAGCAGAAAAGAACAAAGACAATATAAAGAGACACAGGGAGCATTATATAGGAAATAAAAACAAGATAAGGAGGAAAACTGTAAATAGAAGAAAGGAAAAAAGAGAGTGAGAAAAAGGAAAAGTGGAGAAAAAAACGCCATGCTTCAAAATAACTTCTCTTTCTGGGAGATGGCCCTGCCC